TGCATGGAAAAAACGTGGGCTTTTTCTAATCCTATGGGGTTTTTTCTAATCCTACTAGTAAATATTTATTCTGCTGGGTCATTTAATAAGTAGAACAGTTCATAGGTATTCTATTTTCTGGCTATATTCGGTAATGATAATGCCAGAGTTAATTTTTACTTCATTTAAATTCAAAAATAGCATTATTTAGAAGGAAACGTACTGCCTGCTTTTCACCATGCAATTCCCGCAACTCTTTTAATGCTTCGCGATACTCATCTTCCTCTGCTGAAAAAAACCAATCTTAGAATGAAGAATTTTCTTCAGTTTCTACCGAATAGGCATAACTTCTAGAAGGTCGGAACAATGTTTAATAGAGGATTAATTAAATCTTACACAAAAAAGATACCATCTTAAGCCTGGTTCATGCTGCTCCGTTACCAAAGTGGGGCACTGCTTCCAAACGGTTGCACAAGAATTGATGACGAGGCAAAGTAAGGAAAAAACAAGGCGACAGCAAATGGCCCTGACGTAACAAAAGTCGTGATATATTAAAAAGTCAAAAGTCAAAACTCCCTCCGTACTCGTTTTCTGTGAAAGGCATGTTATTTAAGTGCGCTATAAACCTGAATATATTATAAAAAGTTAATTAATCAATACTGCAACAGATGAAGAAACGAATTTTTGACTTTACAATGATATTTTCCGGCAAAAAATCTTCAACTGCCTGCGTTAATATTAACATTGACGGTATTTTTTTTTCACGAGTGCTGCTCTGAATACATTTTCTTCGACACTTTCTACATGTTTTTTTTTAAGATGTTAGAAGTGCCAATTTACGTAATTCTAAAAAACAAATCGGATGAATATCAGTGAGGTAAGACTGACAGCATTTTTACCTGTGCACAAGTGGGAGAAAAGCTGTAATGTTCGAGCAAGGAAAATAACAAAAAATCAGGATTTCGAGGCAAAAAAGAACATCCCATTCAAAGTCTGTTTCAAAATAACTTAAGATTATAGAATATACACGAAAATTTGCAAGTTTTAAGACTTTTAAATGTATGATTTATGCAATTAAAAATTATATAGATCATAGAGGAGCAAAATTTCAAAGCAAAAAATGAAATCTTTGGAAAACTAGCCATGACGGTGCTGGATTTCGGCGAACGAATCACGAAGTGGACCTTTTGCACGACTTAGAGCACATATTTCCGCAATCAGTGCTGTGCGTTCATTTTCCTGAGATATTTTTTGAAATAACATATCGAACAAAAGTTTATCACAATTCGCAATAAATGTGATGGTCTTGTTGATAAACTACTTCTAGCTGTGGTATTCGCTCCGGAAAGATATCAAGAATACGGGAATTTTAGGCACGCGGTGCCCTAAAACTACGTAATTTTTGTTTCAAGACGTTCACTCAAAATTTCCGAATATCAGAAGGATAACGACAAGAAATCCTAACCTTTTGTTCGACAAGTTTATGATAAGCTTCAATTTCATTGTTATGTTTCTTTTCGGCCTCATTTAAACATTCTTCCATACTGGACAGTTCTTTGCGCAGCGTCTAAAAACTACGACTTTTTGCATTTCTTCAAACACAAATAATAATAATTTGTACATCAAAAAAATTTTTTTCAAAGACAAAATAACTTTCCGTTGCTCAGAAGAAGAAAAAATTCTCTCCACAAACCTCAATAACTCCCAACTGTTCCAGTTTCTCTTGAACCGCTAAGTCGTTAGCTCGCTCGAGTTCTGTGCATTTTCGTTGGAGCGCTGCTTTCTCGCTGCCGAGTGCTGCAAGTTCGTCTTCAAGTTTAAGCAAGCGTGCTGTCTGCGTCTCCAATATGTGCGATGTTTCCCTGAAAAACAGGAAACAAATCACGTCTACCTCAAATTAGACGGAAATCAAGGGTACCAAGGGCTTTTTTATGATACAAAATTTGAACAACATATAGAAGTTCTACATTTTGAATACTCTTACGAATCATTATGTGTTTCATCCCTTAACTGTAAACAGTGACAGAGTAACGAGGACAGACAAAAGCAGAATCAGAATTTGCAACACAGGCGTATGCCAAAGCTCATTTGACCCAATTACAGAAAACAAATATTCCCGCAAAGTCAGAGAAAATAAATATCCCCTAATTTAGTTCCTTTCTAGCTTTTATGGTTCTCGAGTTGAAATTGGGTGACAAAAATATTGGGTTTCGCGATTCTGAATTTTCCTTCGAGGCACTCACCTTCCCCGTTGCTCCAGATTCTCAATTTGTCGTTGAAAATGCACTGCAGCTTCTTTGTAGACTGCTCGTTCGGCATTCGCCAGTTCTCTTTTAAGTAGCTGTCCTTCGCTCTTTGCTTGTTCTGTAAGAATTTTCAAATATTCTTCAGAAAAATCTTTTTTAGGAATAATTTTCCCGGACTCTTTTCAGATTATTTTTTGAATGTTTTTAGCTTTACTCGATTAAATGTCCTACTTTTTTTTAAAATACTTCTACTTTCAGCTAAATATAGCCAAAATAGTACTATGAACAATTTTAATGGGTGTTGCAGATATATATGCTCACACAATAACTCAAAAAACTAACATCAATCAACTCGTGTAAGAAACTAAATGCACCGTCCTGCCTAATTTATTATACGAATTTTATAGAATAAAAGCAAAAATGCTAATGAAAGGAGCATTTGACCAATTTCAAGTGGTGGGTCCCATGTGAATAATATGCGAAGCTTCACTTTGTTTCTGGCCCCAAAAATTCATAAATGAAGTACAGTTCTTTTATGTAAAAAATACTGTTGAAAAAAAAAA